TTAGGGTGTAGGGTTTAGGGTCTAAACCCTAAGGCATTGTAAACTTCTAAACCCTCAGCCCGTAGAGCCTGAACTCAGAGGGGCAATCGTCGACCGGAATGGCCCTAAACCCTAAACCCTGGCTTCGCTCCCCCCCCCCCATTCCGGAGCTCGGGGAGTTCCTACGTGATAGAGCAGCCTTCCCCTGCACCCCCCCGAACAACTGCTGCGAGACTATGACCCAGAACCCTATTCGAATCCCGGTATCCTGAGGTGTAGGCAAAACCCTGTACCCTAAACCTTAAACCCTAAACCTTAAACCCTAAACCCTAAGCCCTAAACCGTAAACCCTAAACCCTGAACCCTAAACCCTAAACCCTAAACCCTAAACCCAAAAACCCTAAGAGGGGTTGGGATGTTGGATTTCCTGAGGTTCAGGCCAGGCCCCGGCCCCATGTGGCGGGTTTGGAGTTTGGATGGTTCCCGAAACCTGGTGAGAGGGTTGAGGGTTTAGGGTTCAGGGTTTTAGGGTTTAGGGTTTAGGGTTTAGGGTTTTAGGGTTTAGGGTTGAGGGAGGGGACCCAAGATCCATGAAGCTTAGGGGGTTTAGGGGGGTGTCGGGGTTTCAGGGATATCGAGGCTCTCGAGCTTGGAGGTTGGGGCCTGAAGGCCTCAAGCCTGCACGGAAAAAGCCGAATGTCAGGGGCTTTGGGTTTAGGGTTTAGGGTTTATTCATATGGGAGTTTCCGAAAATTGGGGGTACCTTATTTTGGGGTCCTTATAATAGGGATCCTATTAATTGGAGTGCTATATTAGGGCCCCCTATTATCGGAAACACCCATATCTTTCCAGACCAGCAAGTCAGACGATTCAACTGGCACAATCGATTCCAGGAGACTTCCTGAAACCCAAACCATCGGAGCTTACTGTTCTATTATTGTTGCTAAGGGGGTTGCTGTATCGGTGACGATAGTGGAATGAGGCGTACACTAGCTTCAGCACATGAGAACAATGCCATTGTCTGATGCTGGCTGCCCTGGCAGCGTCTCGTAACGATTGCGATTCGCAGTACCTTGAACCCAACGCCTGAAAACTCAAATCCTATGTACCCACCCACACACCTAAGAAATTGGTGCCCTGAAGTTGGGCAGGCTTCAAACAAAGAAGCAGTCTGAACCCTAAGAACTGAACCTTTAAATGTCAAGATGGAGGTCTCTGACGTTTTGCGGAATACTGGCCTGGTCCGGGTACGCCGTCACCTTACGCGGATCTGGGAGGCCCGATTTGTGGGTTCTGATCTTTGGGTTTCGAGAATGACATGTGGCATTTTCTGGTGCAGGCCTTTCTGTGAAGATGAAGAAACTGTAGTTGATAGTTGGCAATTTCATTCGAGAACTTCAACAGGTCTTCAAATCCCAGAACCGCCGACGCTTCCACGTAGCTTTCAGGTCTGGGACTGGGGGTCTGTAGATTACGGCTTGGCTTGTCCAGGATCTTTCTCGTCTAGACCATACTACCAGGCTGTGAATTGCAAAGCGCCTCAGCACCAACAAGCCTGCGCTGTGTGGTTTTGTGCAGGTTCGTAGGATGCACCCTGAAAAGCAAAGCATAAAATGACATATACCGCAATGTACGTACATGCATGCAAACCTTCATTACATTGCAAGACATACCTGCATTACCTACCTGATCTACCTTACCTACCTTGCCTGCCTCGCCCACCTACCTGCCTCCCTGCCTAGGTACGTTCATATGTATCTACATATACCTACTGCACATGCCTACATAGACACACAGGTACATACATGCACACCTACATACATGCTGCACCCACACACCCACCCACCTAGCCACCCACCCGTCCACCTGCCAACAAACATACACCACGAACATGAAATCATACCTGCCCACCTACCTAACTACCTACCAACATGCGTACATACAGACATACGTAGACATATACATGCGTGCATGCTTGCATACACACGTGAGTACATACTTATACCCACGCACCCCAACACAGGACAAGAAGGTTCTAGCCGATTCAAGTGGGGTGACGGTTAAGGGGCAGGAGCACCTGCACTCGCACCTCCAAGCTCTTGTACCCTTTTGGGTTTGGGTTTGGGACGCTTTGCGCATGGTCTAGCTGTCCTGAATCTGACATCTCAAGTGCTAGCTCATGCAGGGGATTGCAGCATCAGGCGTTTTAAATGGCTCAGGGTTATAACTGTGACGTCGGCTTAAGGTTATTGCTCGGGATCTGGGGTTGCACTCCTTAACTTCTGAGGTTCATAGTTCTCAAGGTTAGGAGTTATGCACTTCAATGCGCTTAAGGGCCCATGCTATAGTCGGGCTCTTCGGGTTTAGGAACTTGGGGGTTTAGGTTGACGGGGTGAGGCGGGCATGAGGCTTCAAAAAAGGTTGACGGGGTTTAGAGGTCTAGGATTTAAGGGACCAGGCATCGTCGAAGGTTGAAGAAAGACGGGAGTGCTTCCTCCTAGAATACACCTTTCGTGCAGCGTCTAGCCATGGGTTCGTCCCATCCAGGGTCTGTTTCCGTTGCCCCTAAACCCTAAACCCGAAACCCTAAACCCTAAATCCAAACCCTAAACCCTAAACCCTAAGTGCAGGAGATGGCCATCGACAAGAAAACGATGTTGGCACCTTGGGCACATCTAAACCCTAAACCCTAAACCCTAAACCCTAAACCCTAAACCCTAAACCCTAAACCCTAAACGCTAAACCCTAAACCCTAAACCCTAGGGTTTCGGGTTTCGGGTCCTGCCGCCCAGGCCTGAAACCCTGAGGGGTTTAGGGTTTAGG